CAGGCTCGACTCGACTATGCTGAGACAGCGCTCCTTTGGACAAGTGGGTGTCTGTGCGCGCTTTTATTTCAACAGTGCGTTATTCCTGTTGTCTGTCGCTCTTGTTTGCAGCCATGCGTCTATGGAACTATTTGTCCCCTTTTCGTGTTGCATTGCTATCGCATGTGTCACGCCTAGTCGCGCGTCCACTTCAGCCCCTCTCCCCGCCTTCGTTTGGTGGTTGGTGGCCTCTCTCTTTTTGACAAAAGAGTCCGGTACCATCCGGCTCCCTGAACGCCACAATATGCCATTTCGTCGTTGTTTTGTTTCTCATCCCTGTGGCATCCGCCCACTTCTCATTCTTCTGCTGCCCCCATCCCCATGTTCTCACCACCCCGTTCCTGCTGTTGATGGTAGATGACGGCGCTGGGTTTGGCGAAAAGGGTGTTGCTAATGCGGGTATCGTTAGCGCCACGGGAAGAGCAGAGGAGCTGGTCGCTCAGGAGGCTTAAGAAGGATGCCGAGGGCAACGTCAAAAAGGCTTCATGTAGGGAGAAGCACCTGGAGGTGAAAAGTACCGTCATACTTGGGAATATATTGCATTTTAAAGTGGCGACACCAGCAGCGTTTTCTGCACATCTCTCTGTAGCAGAAGCCGCAGCAACAGACACAGGCGCGTAAATGGCAACAATCCTTTGAGAGAGACGAACTGAAAACACTTTGGCTACCCCACAACCGCTTACACCCTCCCCGAAATCCCCACATCTTTCTCCCTGCCTGTTCAAGTTGCGACCGAGAGCAAAGGGGGGCTCTGTGGGACATGAGGAGGAGTAGGCCGACGCCGCCGTCGCCGTCGCCGACTCCTTGAGCATGGATTAAGGGCAAATTCCGCAGGAGCGGCACCAGGAACAGCGACGTCAGCTACAGCACCTGCTCGAAGAGGAGCTTCAGCTGAAACTGTTTGTGCGGCAACACGAGGGGCAGCGGCTCCGGGAGCAGTTGATTGTGTTTGAGCAACTGCAGCGGCACCGGCAGACACAGGTGCGTGAAGGGAAAACATCATTTGAGAGAGGGAGAGTTAGAGACGAAATGAAAACGCGTCGGCTGTACATTTTTGTTGAGTCGTCATCCAAAACGAGACTCCACGAAGTTCCAACATTATCACGTCATTTCTGAAACCGCTATCGTCGCGGGGTTCTAATTGTTCCCTTCGTGATCGCCCGAGTCGATGGCGTACTTTTTGTTTTGAGTCACGGAGACATTTCCGACGGGAAAATAGACAGTTTTAATGGAATGTAGGTTTAGAAGTCGGGGGACACTGCAAATGTGCCAAAGAAAATGGCCGAACCGATTACAAGGACTACGTGTTCGTTAGCACGGGATAGTGTTTGGTCAAATCATCTACATTCTGAAATATGTCCTGCTCAGGTTGAGACCGAGGGCGGTGGGAGCTCGGTTGAATTGAGGAGGAGGCCGCCGGCAGAGCCTCAGCTGCAGTCGGAGAGGGCGAGGTTGGGGCCGGTGATGCCCAAGCAGCGCCAGCGTACCAGAGGGCGGACGAAGGGCAGCATGCAGGAGAAGCTCTCGCGGAGGCCCAGTCAGGAGCGTGGCCTACGGGAGGGCTTGTAAAGGTGGGTTTCGTGTGTACTGAAGTAGCCAGGAGGCATGATTGTGTATCCTGAAGTAGTCCGGCATGCTTCACGCGCCCGGATACACGGCCAAAAACTCGTGGAGGTATGTTGTGTATCCTGACGAAACCTGGCCTCTCTCCCCGTGGCCGGATACAAGGCAAAAGAGTCGTGATGGGAAGTTTTGTGGATCCTGAAACAATCTGGCATTGCTCCCCGCTCCCGGATACCCGATATGAAGCGCGCAGTTCTTGGTGAGATGTGTTTTTGCACACAACCGTTTTGAAGATTACCCCGCTTCCTTCCCCGGCACCGCCCCCCCCAACGCTGCCGTCTGCAGATCCATAGCCCGTTCGTGCGGAGGCCGAGGCAGAAGGGCGCTCGGCAACAAGAGCGAGAGTAGCATGATGTATTGGAGACTGCGGCACTTGCATGCTGAGCTTGTGAGGAGGAACGGATACACGGCGAACCAAATGGGGGACTTTCACTGGACGCCATGGAAGACGCCGCAGGTAGCACGAGTAGAGCGGAGACAATTCGCGTGCTATCCGTCGGCACCCGCTTTGGTAGTTGTGGTGTTTTGTGTGATTTGTGTGTTTTGTTTTCTTGCAGTAAAACGCAAGGTAGACCACATCGACCATCGACGGGCGGATACCGCAAGAACGATTGTAGCTGTTGATGTTGGCGCCTGCGTTGATGAGCACCACCATGCCTGTTCAGAATCCTTTGCTCGCGGCCACATTGAGCGGTGTACCGGACACACCTCCCACTTTGAAGAAGTTGATAAGAGCTTCGATGTCCGCGCCAGCCTTGACCAACGCCTTGGTTACAGCAAGGTGCTTACCACAGACTAAAGGTGTAGAGTGGTATGCCCGTGCTCGGTCTTGGTCGAAATATCAGCACCCCATTGCAGAAGAACTCGTATCAAATGCAAGTAACCCCTGTACGCGGCGAACATGAGTGGGGTCCAGTCATTGTCACCACGTGCGCGGCTAATACTGGCTGACCCTGTCGAGAGGAGATTAATCGTAAGCTCGACGGAACCACTGGATGCCGCATGGTGTAGCTTGCTCAGAGCAGATGGTATGTTGAGGATGTGTGTTCGAAAACACGCTCGTCCAAACAAAGTTTATGGTCAACAAGTGTTTGATCGAGGCCGTTATCTCGAAAAGCCACCAAATGCTTTTAGCCTGGTACAAAATGAGAGTGGGAATGGCACGGTATGGTAAAGCGTCACACAACTCAGCTGAAGAATTTCCTGAGCGAGACCGCGAGCCCGCTACATAATGGCGCCGGTGGTAGTAGAAGTCTGTCCCGTGACCGACAGGAACAGTATGTCGTTCCAGGCGTTTTGCGATGATTGACGCATTGTGAGTTTGTGTCTATGTGCGAGCGGGGTTTTGTCTAAGTGACAATGAGTCTCTTTTGTGGAGAGCGGCTTGTTCAAGCACACAGGTCGATTTTAGAAGTTATTCAAATCACATCCATCCGGCACGCAGTACCCGCTACACCGCTAGCCTGACTCTTGTCCTCGGTGGGGGCCACGCGCCTTGAAACATCCCCGGCCTTTCACCGCTGCCGTCGGAGCGTGATGAATCGCCGACAGCGGGTGCTGAAAGACGCCGCAAACTAGGCCGCCTTTCAAAGGCATATTTCACCGTTCACGACATGAAACACCCCCATCTTCTTCGTCCCGCTCGACTCACAGCGATGGAACATTACTTGCACTCGTCAGGACACGAACCAACGGATGCAGGGCTGGAATCGTTCCCCGAGCTCTTTGCAGCTGTTGGAGGTGATCGTAATCACACTAAGGGGGAACTCTTGTGCTGATGTGGACGTCAAATGATGCGCTGGGCGCGGCGTTGGTTACGGTGGGTGCGGCCACGATGTATTTCATCAAACGATTTGGGGAAGATGGCTAGCGATGGCCGCGTTGCAAAGTTGTTACCGGATAATGGAGGCAATTGTTGCGCGCGATTTCCCCGACCAGAAGTTTATTAACAGGAGCTTCCGCTCGGCGGCCCTGCAGTTTTCTGGCGACAGGCAGGTCCCGGACAGGCTCGATCCGTAAAGACTGGTTGATGCGGTGATCGCAACCCGTACGTGATGTCTGCTGTAGTCCATCTTGGCGCGGATCGGGCCATGATGGTTCGGGACTGGCAGCGGGGGCTGAGAAACACATCCCTTCGTCGGTTGGCAGAGAGTCAGTTCGTGGATGTGGTCCAGGCGTTGGTACTGAATTTGTCGGCAAAGGAGATGGGGACGACGGACTAATTTGGCTGTGCTCCTACCGAACATGTGGCCTCGGAGGCATACCTTTGGCAACGTTTCTGATTGGTAGGGAGGGGTGTATCGTGTCCCCCCTCGACCGCAGCGGCAATCAAGTATCGCAGACGTTGTGGGGAATGAAGCAGCCTTTCCGCGATTTCAGTCGTAGCGCGTGATAGGGAGAATTCGGCCAAGCGTCGGGGGGTTCTTCTTTGGCGCAAGCGTGGTGTCAATGGTGATGCTGGTGAAGTCCCTCCGCCAGGAATAGTCGGAGTGTTGCAAGAATCTGGTAGGATTTGTTAAAACGAAAGTGTTTCAATTGACTCAGGAGCAGCCGCTGTCTGTCCAAGTGAGACAATTCTTCAGACCGCCGCCAGTTGCGTTCACTGAGGGTCTAGACCGCACTCTGCGTCATGTTGACGAGGGAAAGGGACTACTGAACATTCTCGCGATAATCTGAAGACATGCGCCGCAGGAGGAATGTGATGAGAAGGGGGAAATCCCCGGTGTTTTTGTGTCCCGGCCGATCGTTGTACAGAGATCATACACAGAAATGCGTAGTACAAGACACCTAAAACGAACAGGTGACGCCAGACGCCAATAGATGGGACGTGAAACACACACACCGCGTTGCAATTGCTATTGCTGTTTCCGTCTGACAAAACACAACTCTGCAGGCTAAAAAAACGGTCGATGAAACTTTTTTGTGGGATGACAAAACACTCGGACAGCGACCATCGAACAATTGTCCTTTCCCGTCAAAATGGTCCGGAGAACCACGAGAAAGTGGACGCACACGGAGCACATTGCTTTTCTCTGCGGCGTGCAGATGTGGGAGAGGAACTGGGCCGTGGCCTCGCTAGTGCCGGCCGACCCGCTTTGTGGTCCAAACAAGAACGTCCTCAAAATCGACAAAGGAGAGCGATTGACGGATAGATTTTCGAGGAGAATTGACATTTACACCGTGGACCGCACGAACCACACGTTTTTGCCGATTACACCTCCCTCAATCATGCGTTTACGAAGGAAATACGACGAACCCCTGCTTGTCCTCCAAGACACTCAAGCATCCTAGCGCTCAGAAATTTACCTTTTGGTTTCATTACCACGCCCCGTCTGTATCTACGTTCGCTTTCTCATGCCCTTGGTCACCAACTTGACGGGTTTGAAGCGGTAGATCTCGCGTGAATCGCTGACTATGAAGCCTAAGCCCTTCTTGTTCTTGAGCAGCGTCTCCACTTTGCGGCAGGCTTTCGACGCGGCTATGACATTAAAAGAAAGTTGCGTCTTTCCCTCCTTGAGCCATCCTAAAACCCACTGCCCGTTGTACGCGGAATCAGAGCTGTCCTTAACTCTTGTGTAGAATATATCAGGAAACTCCCCCTTCTCGTTTGGCTTCACAAGATTGTACGGGAATTTGACGCCCTCTTGGAAAAACTTCTTCTGGAAGGTTCTAAACCTCGTCTGCAATACAGAAAGCGACATGGGGGCCAAAACATGCGGTTGTTGGTATGCGATTGTTGGTAAATGTCACAAGTTGACAAATGGATGAACGGGTGCGGAAGCGACAGATCGGACCGAGCCGCTCTCTACATACGATTGGAAGCTCGCGTTTCTGACCGAAATTCACGCTAACATGTTTTCTGAAATGCGTAAGCTGTCTTCTCACCACAGTTTCGCCTTGGAAGTGGTGAACCATCTCCTCCCAAACTTCATCCGAGTAACACGTCTTGCTCTTATCCTTCCGCGCATTGAGAAGAGCAGGAAGAAATCCTGCGTGACAGCGAACAGGGAGAAACGCAACACATGTATGAATGAAATGACGTTTGGTGCTCCGATATAAAAACCTTCCATTCTTACTTTGGCCACTTTCCTCCTCTTCCTCGTCGCCTGCGTTGCCTGTGAAACGGGCGGCAACGAGATTAGACAACCAATACATCGCCAAGTGAGAAAAAAAACAAGAGAAGGCGCAACGTGCGTCCAAAAAAAAAACTTTCATGCGTACCGTGGCCGCTCCCCCCGCCTTCTTCGTCCTCGTCGCCCTCCTCCTCTTGATCGTCTACCGCGTTGCCTGTGCAAAGGGCAAGACAACCAACTATTATTCGACAACCAATACATCGCCAAAAGAGAAAGTTATGTCAAGGAGGGGCGCCAGGTGCATCCAAGAAAAAATTAGTCCATGCTTACCGTGGCCGCATTCCTCCCCTGCGTCCGCGTCGGCTTGCTCCTCTTCTTCATCACCTGCGATGGCTGTGACAACGGTGGCAACGTGGTCACGCAACCAACATTTTGCCAAATGAGGAAGCATTTCAAGTCGCTTCCCCCCGCTTCTACGTCCATTGTGCCCTCCTGCAATGTAGAGAACTACCCCCCCCCCC